TGTCCGCTTGCGTATAGCCCCCGCTACGCAAGTAAGGGTATCTTATTACAGAGGGTGCCATATATCCGTAAGCTCCGTTCGAGACTGGGCCCCCAGTCATGTTAATCCTCGGTACGAGTCGCATGAGTACCCCCGACCATGGTAAAGCTCCTTATCTGATATGGAACAAATTTAATATCGCGAAGTGATTATATTGTTTTATTTTGAAGGGTTTAAAAGCAAAGGAAATTATAACCAATTCTTAGAAGTGTATAAGGAGTCCTTACCTTCAAAATGCACCGTTGAATTTTGGGGTGGTGAATTTAAACGTGGTCGTACTTCTTTTAAAGACAATCCACACGAAGGACCACCAAAAACCGCAACCACACCACAAATTATTGAGAAAGTTCATAATATTGTTAGCGAAGATCGACGTTTGACTAAGCGTGAAATTGAAAATACCCTAGGCATCTTAGACGAACGATTACTTCATATTTTACATGAAGAATTTCATTTGAAAAAGCTGTTTGGACATTTAGTGCCGCATACATTAACAATAACTGGATCGAAAACAAATTTCTCAGCATAATTTTAAGCGTTTTAAGCAGAATAAAACCGAGTTTTTGCGTCGTTTTATAACTATGGATGAGACTTGAATCTACCACCATGATTCTAAATTGAAACAAGAACGTTTTAAGCAACTACTACTTTTTCAGAAACCTGAAAAAATTCTTCCTGAAAAGCGTTTTCCATCGAACGAAGGAGCTTTTACAGCCATAGGCGGGTATTTTGCAAAGTTTCCGGTAAGTCATTATAGGGATGGCATAAAATTATTGGAGAATGTTCTTATTTCGAGCGCAGAAACCAACCTGTATATATGAATGATCAGGATGACGAGACGAGTTTAAATACATAACTAGTTAAGCACTAAATTTATAAGCAAAAATGTAATTTGGTGCAAGTAATCACAGTAGTGAAAGACAACTGTAAGCTAAAAAATTTTGTAAAGTGAGTTTGGCCCCGCTTCGTTAATTATAAATGTACATATCTTCCAAACGTTAAGATAAATCAACCAAACTTGCTGCTAAGAAATTTTTATATCCTGAACAGAGTATATTAAGTATGCAACGAGACGAAGGAAACGTCGGATACCCTATAAAATATGTCTAAATGATCAGCGTACCGAGCTGAGTTGATTTAGCCATGTCTGTCTGTCTGTTCGTCTGTATAGTCCTTCAGTTTTTAAGATATCGATCTGAAATTACGCACACGCTCATTTCTACCCAAGAAGCAGATCATTTGTGGGAGCCGCCGATATCGGACAACTATATCATATAGTTGTCATACAAACTGAACGATCGGAATCAAGTTTCTGTATGGAAAGCTTTTTTATTTCACGAGTTATCTTTACGACTTCATTTCGGCAGAAGTTATTGTCTAAAGCAATGGTGCAATCTCCGAAGAAATAGTTCAGATCGGATAAATATTGCATGTAGCTGTCATACCAAACCAAACAATCTGAAGCAGGATTTTGTTAGGAATATTTTCTATTTGTGAAGGGTATTATAGCTTCGTTGAAACCGAAGTTAACGTTTGTTTTTATTTTAGCATTTATTTTATAAACTGTCAAAATGGGTAAAATCAGATAAAACCCACTCCCCATATAACGGTTATGTTGAAAACTACCTAAAGTGCGATAACTCACAGAATAAACATCAAATAATTTCACAACGAAGATGGTAAGGAAGGGTTTTAGGACTTACTAAAAGAATTTGAAAGAAATTGTGCGAGGTCATGTAAACATTCTAATATTACCCTGGAAAATTGAGCGAAATCGGATGAGAACCACGCCTACTTTTCATATAACAACCTTGTAAATTATCTTTGATCCTTTCACTTTACAGTATACAAAACAAACATTAATGAACCTATCGGAATAAAATTTTGCACAAATAATGTCCTCAAGGTATTTCGTCTTACTCTTAAAAAATGTGGAAATCGGACTATAACTTTTCAGGGACCCGGACACCAAATAACTGCTCCCCAGTGCACATATCGGTCAATCTATGAGCTCTAGTATTGAAATTTAAGGAAAATATGGTCATGATGACCCTTACCTTTGTGCCAAAAATTGGTCAAATCCAGTCAATACTTCCCTTAGCCCACATATACCTGAAGTAAGTATAACAGCCGATTAACTTTAATGCGCATCTAGCAGTCAACATGTAAGAAATCTCAATTTTGAAATCAAATTCAGAAAGGACAATAATACCTTCAATTTGATTAAAAGTTTTGCTAAGTCCTGAAAGTATATCCTCGGAATTGATCCTTGGGAGAGTATAAAATGTTCGATTACACCCGAACCTAAGCCTTCCTTACTTTTAATAATTTAATTCAAATTTCTTAGTATAAAAATTCTCAACCCTGGTTACATTTGCCAAACACTTAAATGTTTTGTTTACTAAATTAACAAACATAAATTATGGTGAGATAAGTTAAAAAGTCCACAGTCAGGTAAGTTAGTATAAGATTAAGGTGCTAAAGATAAAAAAATTCAAAAATATGGTTTATTACGTTGGTTAGAATGGGTTTTCACTAATTAAAAACATTTGCATACTTTAATTACTCGTATGCATTACTCATTATGTTGTTATTAGAGTTGAGGCAAAGTAACTACAGATATTCTTCAAATCAAGGTTGATATTGCGGCAGTTTTTCTTTGGCAATGATAATAACCATCATATCTTGGTCGGATAGAATTGCGCAGTTATATAACAATCGATATCTCATTTGCTTTTGTTTTGGACTACGTAGAATTTACTAGGTACCTCGACCTTTCGGTCCAATTTTATCACACTTTACACATCACAGTAGTAAAGACGACATTACACTGGTAAACAAAATTAAACTTTTTTGTTTTATGAAATTTCTAGGCTGTTTCTTTTGGCCTCGCTGATTTCATATCTACACTCAGTTTCTTTCTAGCAGCTCCAGTTTTAGTGATACAGGTACTGCTTAAAATTTCGTTACTCGGCTTACTTGAATTAACTTTTAGGGCAAAAAATTACCAAATTTCATAAATAAACACTCTTGTTTCATGTGCTTATGGGATAGCCGAGCCAAGACAGAACATTGGACTAAAAAAGTTTGGCCTTGGAGAAGGAATTTAGTACCGGGTAGTATGAATGTGATGAATACCCTCTAGTAGCCAGAGACCGCATTATACAGGTTGGTTGAAAAGTTTCTGCGCTCGAAATGAAAAAATCCTGTTTTGAACGAATTAAATTTTTGTATTCAATATAATCTTCATTAACTTCAATACACTTATTCCAGTGATCCTCCAATAATTTTATAACATTCCTGTAATGACTTTCCGTAATCTCTGCAAAATACCTGTCTACGGCTGTAATAGCTTCTTCATTCGACGACAAACGCTTTCCACGAAGAATTGTTTCAGGTTCTGAAAAGGTAGTAGTTGCTGGGAGCCAAATCTGGTGAATACGGTGGATACTTTCGCCATTCGTACTTTAATTCGTTGAATTTTGTCGTTGTTAAATCACCTTTGTGAGCAAGTGCATTGCCTTGATGAAAAATTATTTTTTGTGCTGCATGAACTTACGAACTTTTTTATCAAGCTGATTCAAAAAGCTGAAATATTTATTCAGAGTTGATTGCTTTACCTTTATGCAGGTAATCAATGATCAAAATTCCTTTTGCATCCCAAAAACTCATTAATAAATGTCTTTGCTGATAGTTGTTACTTCACATGCTTTGGAGCTTAAAACGTTCTTGTTTCAATTTAGGATCATGGTGGTAGATTCAAGTCTCATCCATAGTTATAAAACGACGCAAAAAATCGGTTATATTCTGCTTAAAACGCTTAAAATTATGCTGAGAAATTTGTTTTCGATCCAGTTATTTTTAATGTATGCGGCACTAAATGTCCAAACAGCTTTCTCATAAGTAATAGTAAAATATGAAGTAATCGTTCGTCTAAGATGCCTAGGGTATTTTCAATTTCACGCCTAGTCAAACGTCGATCTTCGCTAACAATATTATGAACTTGCTCAATCATTTGTAGTGTGGTTGCGGTTTTTGGTGGTCCTTCGTGTGGATTGTCTTTAAAAGAAGTACGACCACGTTTAAATTCACCAGCCCAAAACGGTGCGTTTTGAAGGTTTTCCATATTAAAGAAATTCAATTTCAAATGGCTTGTAAACAAAGAATTAATTGACAGAATTACTATGCATGTGTTCTCACAACAAAATTTGGAGCTAGTAGTGCTATTTATTGGTGAGCACTATTCACTTTTCAACCAACCTGTATTACCCCCTCTTCGAATAAAGTTAATTCTGATAATATAGTTTGTAAAAGCTCTAAACAAGGATGGAGACTGTTCTAAATATATCAGTAAAATATTTCCGAAATTGAGCAGAGATAAAATTAAAGCTGGTATTTTTGACGGTCCTCAAATCAGGGAACTAATAAATGATGAACATTTTACTGATTGCATGACAAATTTTCTTAGGAAATAAAAAGTCTCTGGACTACATTCAACACATTGAGCAGCTCATGTTGCAATTTCAGAGACTAGGCTGTGATATTAGCATCAAGATGCATTTCCTCTTCAGCTATTAAGTTCGTTCCCAGGTGTTTTAGAAAATTTAGAAGAGCTAATAATATTTCGGTAAACATGTTTACTATACTATATGTCTAGTACATAGATATATTGTAGATTAAGAGTCATCTCAGCGAATGTATCACGTATTATATTACACTCGTAAATGATGTTATCAGCACAAATTTCACAGTGCAAAAACCATATTTCATACCATGTTAATGCAGCACCAACAATCCACGATGGGTTTTGAGTGCGCTTCTATCATAGTTTGTGAGCGCATTTTGATATTTCTATGAATAGAGAATTAAAGGAGAGCAAAGAAGCATACGTAGCAGAACATTTCGTATGGTAATCTTTTGGCGTAGAGATGTTCATTTTAAAAATTTTGCTTCACTTGATAGCAGTAGTGCGTTTCAAACCAATGCATAAATTCTTAGTAGTAACAAACTAATTTAATCCGCTGCCACGGCCGACTGCTAATTTATGTTAGCATTGTGAGGGTATTTAAGGAACAACAAATTGTTTAAATTTTAGTTAATTTTATATCGTTTGTGCGAGAGATTAGTTGTAGTTGAATTATGGAAACCTCAGAGTGTTTTTACGATAATAAGGAACGAGTGTGGTGTAGTACGAATTCACCGTTATTCTACGATTTCAACTGCTCTTTAGGATATATTATTTATAGAAATTTGAGGAATTTTCCAAGCAGAGTTTGCCAAGTGAGTTTAGTTGTAAAAAATATTACAAAGTGACAATAAATACCTACGAATTTTTATGAAGAAGAAAAAAAAGGAAAAAGAATATTATTTAGAGATATGAAGAAATAAAGCAGTTAACATTACAAGATTTAGATTTCACCAGCTATACTGATTTCGTCCTATTTTTGTGCCTTCTCTTTTTCTTTGTGATTGTGTTTGGTGTATTTCTCTGCCACTGTTAGAAGAAATCATCGACCGGCCCTGGTGACCATATCAGTATTGGCCAATTAAATTCTGGCCGGTCGATTGCTATTTACTGGTGTCTTATGTTGATTATCGTGGAGGAGTGTAGATTTTAATGGGTAACACCGAGCATTTTTGTGTTAGTTCTCTTCGGAATTTGGTAAAAAAAGTTGCCGTGGATTCCGTATGTACCGCGTATTCATGTTAAATTCCTTTTAATGTTCGACTGAGTTTCAAATATTAATATATTGTAAAAATTGGGAAAGACAACTTTCTAAGAAACCGCTTATTTAATATTTCTAAGTTTTAATTATTCGTGTACCAGCAGTTTAACTTGGAATAAAGTGATATTCGGGTACTTTGTCGACAGTTATTGGTTATTATTATCATATTTACGAAGGGTAAATGCTGACTCAGGCCTTGCGATAGTTCCTAAGATTATTGATGTTTTCACACCAATCTCTGGTCTCGTTCGAGCTTAAGCTAAACTGGGTCTGAGGAAATGGCATATTGAAGTAACACTGGCTAACAAAATATCAATTTTTTTTGTCACATGAAAGCTCATATCAAATTTTAAATGTACTAGCGCCACTAAACAATAATATTTGAATAAAGGTTTTCTTGTGACATCAAAACATATATTATGTTTGGGTACAATTGAAAGTGGACAGTTGTTTGGTCAACTTCAGATGCGAGATTCTCTCATATCTGGCACATATCCAAAGTGTGAAGAAGCTATTAATGAACGCAGCGAGAAAATTCATGAGGACTATCATTTTAAACTGTTTTATATATTTTTTTCATATACCGAGCTTTTGAGTTATGGTTTACAGGTACAATTTTTTGATCCCTTTATTTCATAAGGTTTCAGATATTGATGGCCGGGAAGTGACCAACCGTGAATTGCTAACCTGGTCCACACGCTTGGCACTGTATTTTAAGAAAATGGGTCTACGACACGATGATGTCATCGGCATTGTAGCAAAGAACAGCACCTATACAAGCTCGGTTGCGATTGGCTGCTTTATGAACTGTACGCCCTTCCATTCCGTAAATTCGGGTTTGGATAAAGGTAACGGAAGAGTTTTACAACTTTATTAGAGTAAGCATTCATATATTTCTATATATGTAATTATTATTGTTTACAGATACAATCCGTCAGATCTTCCAAATAACCGCACCGAAAATAATATTTTGCGATGGCGAAATTTACGAGAAAATTCATGAAGCCACTCGTTCTTTGAGTCCATTAATCTATACGCTTACCGAACATATTGACGGCGTTGCCACAGTTGAAGACTTGTTGAATCCTATACCAAGTGAAAATCTTTACAAGTAAGTGTAGATTAAACTTGTAAATATAACTTGCAGATATGAGACTTCTTTGACTTATGACTCTTTACAGACCTGAGCTCCTCGTGTTGGGTGGTGAGCAGACAGTAGCAATACTTTGTTCATCCGGCACAACGGGTGTACCTAAGTGTGTATGCATGTCGAGGCATATGCTGAGCACTAATTATTCGTAAGTCCAAGTACTTAAAAAAATGTAAGTCTATATATAGATGTATAATAACGGTATAACATTATTTCTTTAGATTCATAACCAGCGAAGATATAATTTTCACAAACAGCAGTTTGGACTGGGTATCTGGCGTTTTCTTCACTTTACTCTCTGCGATCAGAAGTTGTAAACGTGTAATTACCAACAAGCCCTATACCCCCGAATATATGATTGCGCTGGTGAAGAAATACAAAATCTCTTATATACTAGCTGCGCCACGTCACGTTTCAACTTTGGTTGCTTGTCCAGCAGCCACCACATATAACATGAGCTCCGTTCGAAATTTCTTAGTTGGGGGTGGCTGTATTAGTCAATCGACTTTGCAACAACTGAGAGGTTTACTTCAAAATGGCACAGTTATTTTTGTTTATGGCATGACGGAGGCTGGCTTTTTATCGATGAACTTGGATGATAAATATCCCACCTCAGTAGGCAAATTACTTTCGGGAATTAAGGCTCGTATTGTTGACGAAGAGGGAAAGAATTTGCCACCGAACGCAATCGGTGAGATTTTTGTGAATATTGGACATACTTGGGGTGGCTACTATGGCAATCCAATTGAGACAAAAAGTCTTCAAGATTCGGACGGCTGGTTACATACTGGGGATCTCGGTTATTTCGATGATTATAATATGCTTTATGTAGTCGATCGCAAAAAGGATATAATGAAATATCATGGTGTACAATATTGTCCAGCCGAAATTGAACAGGTGATCAACGAATTGCCTGAGGTGGAGGATGTCTGTGTGGTCGGTGTATATGACGAGAGGCATGGAGATGCGGCCGGTGCAATAGTAGTGCTTCGCCAAGATGCCCAACTTACGACAGAGCTGGTAAAGGATCATGTCAGAAAACGCTTACCATTAGATGAAAAGCAACTGCATGCTGGTATAATTTTCATCGATCGTCTTCCGCAAAATACCAATGGGAAGATACGAAAACGAGAGGCGAGAGCTTTATTTGAGGTAAAGTGAAATTATAAGGACGTTAAGAATATATCTAAGTAACATTTCATTAAAGTGATAGCTGTAAAGGAAATTATATATATACATACTTGTATATATAAGAATGAATAAAATTTTAGGTGGAAAAATATCTCTTAATAAAAAATTACGTGTTACTTTGTTTGTCTGGGGTCTGAGCTACTGAATCGATGTTAGTAGAATTTAACACACTATGTTCAACTGTATCTCAATTATGTTGAAAAATATGTTTCAAAACCATAAAAAAAAATTAAAATTAAAAAATAAAAAAAATTTGGGAAAAGCCAAGTTCTGGTGTAAGCAACCATTTTATATTTTTGCAAGGATCAAAGACGGAATCCGAATTTCAATTATATATCTCACCCATTGACCGATACTTTCGGTAAAAAATCAACCACGGGCACTGGAGTCCAAACTGTATCTGGGGGCTTGAACAGATATTGGCGGGGCCACTCCTTTTTTTTAATTTTAAAACCTCAGGTACCCCTACTTAATGCGATTAATTGTATTAAAGTACAGTTTTAAATCTTATTTGCGGCTTAGTTATGGCTATTTACGGATTAGATTTAGGTGTTACAAACAACCGAGAGCTGACCACTGCTTTAGAGAATTGAGGATGATAAGTCAGTCGAAATTCTTAGAAAAAATATATGTATTTTGAAGGTCAACAAATTTCTTTCAGGACATAATTTATTGGGTCTAATCATTGAATTTATTTCGAACGAAAAATGAAGCCGCAAAATTGAGAATATTCGTCGTCGAACGTAGAAACTTTATTTTGGAAAAAAGAGAATCTTGAATTTTAACATTTCTAAATTCACATTTCTCTGAATAATATGAGTGTTTAAGTTATGTTATATAATTTTAAAATTTGTCGACATAAAGTTTCACTTGGTGGTAAAGCAGATTATCGACGGTGTCAATGACCGTAGACAATTTTGCGATCAAATCAAAAAACCGTATCGATTTTGATTACTATCAATGAATGATTAAACCCATTATCCTATGAACTCGACTTCAATGAACTTGGCAATCCATAACGCTACTAAAAATGGTTGAAAGGTTTGTTATTTACATTTGTGGGCGCTGCTATTTGGATTATGGACTCATAAAGAGTTAGTTTATGTTAATGATAAAATCTCGACCAGAATGACGTTGCTTTTGTAAACAGACGTAAGTAATCCCACTGTGTCTGAGATAATTGGTCACGACCCGCATAAAACTACGAAAACAGCTGATATAGAATATGAAAGTCATGCTAAAGTGGCGGTGCGATAAATATATCTCAATGTATGTAACTAATTCGTAGCTACACTCTTACATTTATATTTATATATATATATATATATATAATATTATATAATAATTATGATGAAATCTTTTGTAATGCCAGTATTAATGTCTTCGATTTAGAAGTGCGAAACGAACAAACAGTTTTTAACTAACAATTAAATAGGTGTAATTAATTATAGAGAGAATAGCAAGCGATTATAGCATTTCAGTGTTGTATCGACATAGTCACTTTTATTGGCTCAGTTAAAAAACCGTTACTTTAACATGTAAGTTATGGTAAAAGCTAATAAATGTACGGTAAATGATAGAAAGAAAAGTGCAATTGGATGAGAAGAATACACAATTTTCTAAAAGAGTCCTAAACTATTCCTAACAACGATATACCGGCATTTTAATTATAGTTTATATAAACCTTTCCCTAAGCAAGTAAAGTATGTTAAGGTATACTTTTGAATACTAATGACGTTTTTCGAGTAGCAGCCTTAACACGCAATTCTCAGCTTCGGAGAGATTGATTTTTCTTGGCTTTTTGAGTGTCGCGATACCTCAGACCGGAAAAAAACATTTAGGTTGTCCGAGATAAAGATCCAAAAACCACTACTTGTCCCTAAAAATCAAGTTGTTGGAAAAGGCTCTTCCCGCTGGTGCTTGAACCTATTTGTAGAAATCAAAAGTTATTGAAGCCCCTTTAGATCTGAACATTTACCATAATATTTATCAGCGTTAAATTAGTAGTAATATCTGTCAGTACCATTTCAAGTAGTTAGTCAGAACGTTAAATATAGATGTTGACTGACTTTAGCTAAGGTTACTTATAATCACATAATTTCCTTATATTTGGCATATAGTTTAACGCTGATAACTTGAGACTTTGGAAGATGTTTAAATATCCAACTTGAAATGCTCTCGAGTGCTTTGGTCTCCAAACGAAAGTAGTCATATTGCTATTAGTAGTATTTTTTCATTCTCCGCATGTTCGTTGTTATGCGTAACAGCAAAACCTTAACTATTAAGGAAGGGCTAAGTCCGATTGTAACCGAATATTTATACTCTAGCAATTTGCATAGACTAAAGGCTGGAAGGAATTTAGCGTAATAATTGAACATTTATTATTCGAAGAAATCGATTGGAATACAATCAAAATTGATATATTATTAACTTATATTATACGTCATATACCCACTAAGTGTCATTATCATATTTTGCTTCATGCCCGAAATATTAAAGTTTAATTTAAGTTAATTAACTCAATTGAGATATACCCGGGTCATCCAAGAAGAGGTACTTTTTTAACAGCCTTTTTTGGCGAATTACGCATTGATCGTGGAAAGCTGTCATGTTATTTTTGTTTAGTATTGTTCAGCATTTTACATTGGAAAGACTTAGGCCTGAACAACTTATTGTCAACATAATCGGCCCACTGAGCGCACTTTTTGCAACACCAGTGCCCATTTTGAGACCCTGCATTCATTATTGGATAATATTCGACCTAATAGACTACGTCCAGCACGCAATGAAGAAAATATAGCCGCCGTAGCTGAGAGTGTACACGAAGACCGTGGAGTGTCGATACGGCGCCGTTTGCAGCAATTTGGACGGACTTATGGAACGACTTGGCGTATTTTAGTCGGAATCTTAAATTGAAAGCGTACAAAAACCAGCTTGTGGAAGAACTAAAGCTGTTCGACCTTCCCAAGCGGCAGCGCTTCGCTCTATGGGCTCTTGACACGTTCCAAGAAGATCTGACTTTTTCGAGCCAAATTTTGTTCAGATGATGTATGTGGGTATGTAAACATGCAAAATTGCCGCATTTGGGACGAAGAGCAACCTGAAGAGATTCAAGAGCTGCCATTTCATCTAGGAAAAAAAAACGTTTTGGTGTGGTTTGTGGGCCGATGGAATCATCGGTCCATGTTTCTTTCAAAATGATGTCGGTTAGAACGTAACCGTCAATGGCGATCATTATCGCGTCATGGTAACCGACTTTATAATGCCTAAAATTGAAGCGCGTGAGCTCGGTGACATTTGGTTTAACAAGACGGCGCCACTTCCTACACATCGCATAAATCAGTGGGCAGATAATTTCACGTTTTGGGCCGATCGATTGGCCACCAAGATCGTGTGATATAACATCGTTAGACTTTTTCCACGCTTCGATTCAGGCCTTCGAGTAAAACATCACGCGTGTCATTCTGCAGGTACCAGTCGAAATGCTCGGACGAGTCATCGAAAATTGGACTCAACGGATTGACCATCTGAGACGTAACCGCGGCTAATATTCGAAAGCTATAAAATTTGAATATTCTGTGTTGTTTTCTTTAAAAATGTACGAAACCTCGAAATGGATCAGCCTATATATGATATAAAATCAACCAAAGGGGCTAAATTTATTATATGCCTTCTGCTGTAATACAGCTTTTTACACAGTCCAAAAGCATGTCGGACGAGTGTTTTAGCTCGTTGCCCGGTATGGCCGCCAGTATGCCGATGCAAGCATTTTGAATGGCCTCTACGTTTGCATAACGCTTTCCTTTCAGTGGAAAATTAATTTTTCCGAAAAGGTGGAAGTCGCACGGTGCCATATCAGGTGAATACGAGTAGTGGTTGATTGTGAAAATGTGATTTTTGGTCAAATAATCGGCCACAAGCGTCGATCGATGAGACGGCGCATTATCGTGCAACAAACGCCAACTTCCATCTTCGCGATATTCGGGCCGAACACGTCGAATACGGCACTTCAAAACTCTAAGGTAGAATTCCGCATTAACGTTTTGGCCGGGTGAAACAAATTCTTTGTGGACAATACCCTTGGAATCATAAAAACAAATCGGCATTGTCTTCACTTTTAATTTCTCCAGGAGCGATTTTTTGGGTTTCGGCTCATCGTGCATTTTAAAACAAAATTTAATGTTGGCTCATTGTTCGAATCTCATTTTCGCACCAATGACAAAAACATATTGACACTTAAAACTCAATAGCTTCACTTCCAATAGATGATTGCACTTAATATCGTTGAAATATCACACATATTGATCGACATAAACGCTTTACGTCAGATGTAAAGTCAAATGACTGGAAATTACTATGCCGCGTATATTGGGGCTAGGGGAAGATTTTAACTGAAGGCATTAAAATTTCGCATTACTCAAGTACATTTGAGAACTTGTTTTCACGCAATTTTATGAAGATAATTCACACACTGACAGAAATATGGGACATAAACTATAGTATATCCAATATTATACGTTCACCTATTTTTGATAATTTATCTTACATATAGAGCGATATATACGGTATAAAGCCAACCGGAGGTTATATAAGATATAAGAGAGATAGGGGATATATTGGCCCGACTTTTTCTAGTTTATGATATATTATTACCAGAAATATGTGCTCTCTGAATTTCCTGATTGAAAATCCTTATATAATGTACATGGGGACTAAGGAAAGTAATAACCCGATTTAATTCATTTTTGATACAAAGGCGTTGTGTTATAATAAAAATATTTTCTCCGAATCTCAATACTATATCTCACAGATTTACTGACATTTTCGGTAAAAAGTTAGCCATAGACACCTGCGTTCACATATTTGGTATCTGAGCCTTTTGAAATTTATAGTCCGATTTCGACAATTTTTAGACGCAAGAAGGAATACACTATTTTTGCAAAGGTTTATTACAATAGCTACAAAACTCTCGGTTTAAAAACTGTATGATGAATGATTTTAATTAAAATTGTGATATGTGCATTAAACCTGCACCCTCACTTTCAAAAAACAATATTTAAATCATACTTCGATGCCCTGCTCCAAATTTCTTTTAGGTTTTTTCGATTAATGCTATTGTTTAAGCGTCTCAATGGTCCGATGTTGCCAATCTCCAATACCAAGAGTAAGTGCAACATGTCTACGAAATTTATTATAAATATGGATAGACTGACCTAATCATTTTGAGGTATGGTACATAACATATTATGTTACAAATAGCGGTTAAATGAACAAAAATATCTCTCTGCAGCAATAGGTTGCGATGGTATGAAAACACAGTTATTAACTACGGAAATATGTATATACGAGTCTATATATATACACATATACTTAGAGGAAATTATTATACCCTGAATAGGGTATATTAAGTTTGCCACGATGTTTGTAACACCCAGAAGGAAACGTCGGAGGCCCGATAAACTATATGTGTATCTATATAAATAATCAGCGCGACGAGCTGAGTCGATTTAGCCGTTTTCGTCTATCCAATCTCCGAAGTAATCATTACGAATTCAGATCGGATCACTATAGCATACACATAGCTGTCATATAAACTGAACGACTGGAATCACGGTATTGTAACGAATCTTTTGTATTTGTGAAGGGTATTATAGCTTCGGTGCAAACGAAGTTAACGTTTTTCTTGTTGTTAACAACAAAATGAAAATATTTGCAAAAAGTTTTGTCTAGTCATGCCCAGAGAAGTAAATAAACATATACATATTATTCAAAACAACACACAACACAAGACTTTTCGGATTTTAAGTAAATAAGAAGTTTATTTGTTAAGTTACGTTGAACAACAGGTGCTTTTGAAAATATAAAAGTGCTGATAAAACTGTGGCAAACATACGTAATCTATTAAGATGCGACAGCCGCCAGCTAATTTATGTCAGCATTGTGGGGGTATTTAATCTAATAACGCCCAAATGAAACCTGCTAGTGGAAAATTGTTTTCATTGTCATTTTTTATTTCATTCATGAACAAATAAGAAGTTAAAAAGAAAACATTTTAATGTTTTTGTTTAATTTTTGATAAAAATGGGTTTCCTCACCTGGGGACAATAGGCAGTTTAAGTATGAAATTGAGGAAAGCACTTGCGTTCAACGCAAGGGGTTTTTGTAAACAGTTCACCTCGCCGGCGGCACTTAGTGTGGCAATCTACACATCGCCTTAGTTTGCTATTGTTTTTGTATACATAAGATGCTACATATATTATATAATCCAATCATTTTAGATCGCATAACAAGTGATAGTTGGAAAAGCAATTATCAAGTTATACAATATGTTGCTTTGGTACTATAGTTTATTTTGCCAGTTAGGACTTGACGACTCGTTCACCAAGCTTAGCTTTAGCCATCTCTTCAAGTTTATATAACAATATCCATCTGAACCTATTGCATCTAACTGGTTTTTACATTACAAACTATTTTGCTGGATATTGGCGAAAGTATTTTATTATGGATTCATCTACTGAAAGTATTTCGTGAAAAACTCACTCAATGGGAGAAAATCCCTTTATCATATGTGCAACAGTGTGGTCGACATGACATTGCAAATTCACATCAGCTGAACGTTCAGTTATGCGTATGTCAATGGGCAAACACTCCCTTTTACTTTTAGCCAAAACATCGTAGCTTGGATAAATATTGCAGTTTCGTTCATCATTAGCACCGAATTGCATCAATTTATAAGAGCTTTTTGTGTAGCCTACATATAAAAATCGAGCCAGAGCTTCCTAAGGGGTGTAAGAAATAAGGCTTTTTGTGTCATCATCTAAACTTTTAATAACTTTTGAAGTTATTGCAGGTTCTGAGCTCAACACACAACTTGCGAAGCATTCCTTGTTCCAGCCTTATCAATGTCTACTTCAGGATAAATTAGATCTCCATCTTACCATTCTTTATTTCGCTCTTCAACAATGCCATGATTCTGTGCCTCGTTTTCCACTTGTTCACGCAAAGTATCTTAATTGTGTTTGAATTTGTTGGTATTGCTTTTCGTTAAAATTTGAGATATAAATTACATTAAAAAAGGGTGCATTTCGAGACTGATATTGTATCTAAAAAACTCAAAAATTAAAAAAGTTGCAGAAACATACAGCTAGTTTTTCAACTTAACATACACAATAGATCATAATAACCAACAAACCAAACACTTGCCGAATCCGGTCGAATCCATCCAACCTTCCACCCAATAAGGAACATCACTGTGAAACTATACCTTTAATTTAATGTTTTTTTTTTTTCAACACCATATAAAATATAACAAATTGTTTAAGTTTTAGTTAATATAATATCGTTTGTGTTTGCAATTGCCGGAGGAAAGAATTAGTTGTAGTTGAATTATGAAGTCCCCAGAGTGTGAAGACCACATATGGGGTGGTGAGAAACCATCGTTATTTCACGATTTCAATTGCTCCTTGGGATATATTATTTATAAAAATTTGAGCAATTTTTCAAGCAAAGTTTATCAAGTGAGCTTAGTTCTACAATATGTTATAAAGTGCTAATAAATACTATTTTTATGAACTGATCCTGTGAGTAATCAGTGATTATAAAAGATGAAATAATTAAAAAATTTGTGAAATTTTGACTCTTATTTAGTTATATTAAAAAAGAAAGTAGTTAAACAGCCATAAACATTTCATCCTATTTTGTGCCTTCACTTTCTCTTTGTGGTTGTGTTTGGTGTAATTTAGTAGTAGGCCCTATTTAGTAGTTGGAATTAGGAGACATCAGTGGTTGGTTCATTAAATTGGCTGGTTTGGTGGAGTGGAAATGAAAAAGATGTGTTTGTTAATTAGGCGCAGATAGGCATATAACATTATGATTAGCGTGACCTATTGCTGGCAGAATACATAGGCTCGCTGGCACGGCCCTGTATAATGGGAGCTCTAAGATCCCCTCCAACGGCTGGACTAGAAAGGTTATTCAACCTGCCACCAATCGAGGGCGTCGAGAGTGGGTCTGGGGTGGAATGAGGAGAATCGGAGAAGGATCTCCACGTGTTCACAAGCAAATACAAAGTCCCACCATGGAGGCTCCCTTCGATAAATGGGACACAACTCTTTCTCAAGGACCTTGGAGTAGTAACTGCTGTGTTGCAGAAATGCATTATATGCATGAAGGCAGATGCTCGGCACAACATTGGAACTTTCTCTCTCTGCCATGCACTGGTACTACACAGCTTTGTAAGACCTATGGTTTAACAAGTTATAATATTCCTACTCACTCTTGATAGAAGAGGCTGTAGAAATATAATTGGAACTACTACTCACTGGGCGCAACCTGGTGGCGGTTTTGTTTCTCACTAGGAAGCAAAACGCCTAAAACATTTGGGGTCCCACACACTGGCATCCTGAAGGATGACTACTTCTCTTTACCTACATATGTAACGACGCTCCATCTGTCATCACTAAGGACCAAAACTAGTCTAACCACCAATCGACATTGGGGTGGGAAGCTATGGGAGCACAAGGACCTTCGGGTATAGTTTGATAAGAAGAGGGTTGGTTAATAAAATTGATCACATACTACCATCGGAGTTTACAAAATCTACACAGACGGATTAAAAATCTCTAAGAGGTGGGCCCCCGGAATCTATTGCTCAGAGCTGGATCTCTTTCGACCGTTAAATAAACGGAATACTGCAGTATCTTCTAGGCGGAAGGCTTTGCGGTCAGGAAAGGAACTAAGTGAAGTATCAAAGTTTACAAAAAGCTTTAACTACCTGTACGACGAATATTTCAGCCCAAATTAAACTTAAACTCCATCTGGCAGTGCTAAGGACCAGTAGATCTATGTATTGGTGACAGCTGACCAGTATAAAATAACCTAATAAAAATTAATCGATTTTGATCATTATATACCTTCAGCTGCAACATTTTCTAATATTTGGGAGATATTCAGGGTTTGAACAGGCTGTTCCTGAACAAAGCTAGTGAGGGCTGACTTTCAAATATTCTTTCATATTACGAGCTTTTGAGTTCTGGTTAACAGCGAAAACTGTGTGAATCACGCCGCTGCTTTCCAAAGCATTGCTATATGAAGTTAAGAATACAAGTAATACCGGAGATATTTCGTGTGGGTCTCTTTTCGTTTTATTGAGCTGTACGCCCTTTCATTCCGAAAACTCGGGTATGGATAAAGGTAGCGGAATAGTTTTACAGTTTTATTAGACTAAGCATATATTTCCATATGTGTGATTATTATTGTTTACAGATACAATCCGTCAGATCTTCCAAATAACCGCACCGAATATAATATTTTGCGATGGCGAAATTTACGAGAAAATTCATGAAGCCACTCGTTCTTTGAGTCCATTAATCTATACGCTTACCGAACATATTGACGGCGTTGCCACAGTTGAAGACTTGTTGAATCCTATACCAAGTGAAAATCTTTACAAGTAAGTGTAGATTAAACTTGTAAATATAACTTGCAGATATGAGACTTCTTTGACTTATGACTCTTTACAGACCTGAGCTCCTCGTGTTGGGTGGTGAGCAGACAGTAGCAATACTTTGTTCATCCGGCACAACGGGTGTACCTAAGTGTGTATGCATGTCGAGGCATATGCTGAGCACTAATTATTCGTAAGTCCAAGTACTTAAAAAAATGTAAGTCTATATATAGATGTATAATAACGGTATAACATTATTTCTTTAGATTCATAACCAGCGAAGATATAATTTTCACAAACAGCAGTTTGGACTGGGTATCTGGCGTTTTCTTCACTTTACTCTCTGCGATCAGAAGTTGTAAACGTGTAATTACCAACAAGCCCTATACCCCCGAATATATGATTGCGCTGGTGAAGAAATACAAAATCTCTTATATACTAGCTGCGCCACGTCACGTTTCAACTTTGGTTGCTTGTCCAGCAGCCACCACATATAACATGAGCTCCGTTCGAAATTTCTTAGTTGGGGGTGGCTGTATTAGTCAATCGACTTTGCAACAACTGAGAGGTTTACTTCAAAATGGCACAGTTATTTTTGTTTATGGCATGACGGAGGCTGGCTTTTTATCGATGAACTTGGATGATAAATATCCCACCTCAGTAGGCAAATTACTTTCGGGAATTAAGGCTCGTATTGTTGACGAAGAGGGAAAGAATTTGCCACCGAACGCAATCGGTGAGATTTTTGTGAACATTGGACATACTTGGGGTGGCTACTATGGCAATCCAATTGAGACAAAAAGTCTTCAAGATTCGGACGGCTGGTTACATACTGGGGATCTCGGTTATTTCGATGATTATAATATGCTTTATGTAGTCGATCGCAAAAAGGATATAATGAAATATCATGGTGTACAATATTGTCCAGCCGAAATTGAACAGGTGATCAAGGAATTGCCTGAGGTTGAAGATGTCTGTGTGGTCGGTGTATATGACAAGAGGCATGGAGATGCGGCCGGTGCAATAGTGGTGCTCCGCCAAGATGAAAAACTTACGATAGAGCATGTCAGAAAGCGTTTACCATTTGATCATAAGCAACTGCATGCTGTTGTAATTTTCATCGATCGAGAACATTATTTGAGGTATATATAAATTATAATTATGTTAAGGATATACATAATTAACATTTCAATAAAGTGAGAAAGATAAAGCGGAAGAAAATATATACTATATATCGACGAATGTGTAAGGACAAATAGTTTAATAAAGTTTATGTATGATATGTATTTCCTACAGTTTGATCCGAATTAAAAGATATGAGAGTTTATATTTCAATTATGTTAAAAAATATGTGTTCCAAATTAAAAGAAAATAATAATAAAAATAAAATAATAATTATGCCGAGAAAAAAAATCTAACATCAACAATCAGCGGAGAAGAGATTATCGAAAGGTAGTAGAAAAATTTTAAAGGGAGAGTTTTTGAGAATAAAGGAAATGTTTAGTTTATAATAACTCACATTAACATTCATACAAAGAGCATTTCAATGGCTAATAAAAATAATTTTATTGTTTTTTCGTTTAAACATCAAATTAAAAAAAGTGATTCAACAATCATGATAATGTTGCTCAAAACAATTTATATTCACAAATTTAAGCAATAAATTGGTTTTCGTAATACTAATTACCGTCGTTGAAGAAAATGAGTTGGACCATGAATAATCTGTGCGGTCGGCAATCATCAGTACTAATTCGAAATCAAAATTCTAAGCTGTGAAGAATTAAACAGGGGGTTGCGCAGGGTGATGCTTTCCCTTGTTGCTGTTAAATTTCTTTATTTCGAAAATCCCTTCTCCATCAGAGTGAACTTCCATCACTTCGTACGCTGATGATCACACGATATTGATATTCGAAAGTAAACAATTTTCTCCTGGACCTTTCTCGCTCCTTCATTACAATGAGCCTGAAACTGTCCCCTGCTAAGTCCTCAACGACCCTATTCACCAACTGAACAATTTTCAGTGTAGCGGAGCTCTCAAGAAAAGCTTCGAAAACAGAACTGAAGACTTCGACACTTGTAGAAGAGTTAGTCGGAGCTTCTTGCAGTAAAAGTCCCAGTTTGTGTTTATAGGGTTTCTTTTCGGTTTTCTAGGTGGACGTCCTTCATACAAACAGAGATAACGGGAGATCCTCAAGAACCTTCCAACCTATGATCAGATTCCAAGACTAACTTCTAAAGGTAATATTTGTCTAGTACTGGAGTTATGAAACATTGATAATTTAACATAAATTTAAATTAATCAAATAACATTCAAAACAAGAAAAAACGTTTACTTCGGTTGCTCGGAAGCTATAACATCGTTTACAAACACAAAGGTTCCTTACAAGAACTTGATTCTGATCGTTTAACGCGTCAAATGATAGGGGTTTCCATACAAACACTTTACTCCGATTGTTCAGTTTGTATGGCAGCTATATGCTATAGTGGTCCTATATCGGTCGTTCCAATGAGCAGCTTCTTAGTGAGAAAAACACAGGTGGAAAATTTCAGATCGATAGCTTAAAAACTGAGGGACTGGTTTGTATATATACAGACAGACGAACAGACAGATGGACATGGCTAAATCAACTCGGCTCATCATGCTGATCTTTTATGTATAAATTATATAGGGTCTCCGACGTTTTCTTTTGAGTGTTACAAACTTCGTGACAAACTTAGTATACCGTGCTCAGGGTATACAAAATAGTTGTTCATTAACATATGAAATCGAAAAACGAAAATCCTAAAGCAGTTCTTGATTAAAAAAAAAAAAACTTTGAGAGTGACGAATCGAACAAAGAAATGGTGTAAAACACATAGACTGGCGTAATTAAATGTCGATAAAATATGAACTAGTAAATGTTTTCAGTTCCAGCAAGGGTCTTAAATCAATTTGTTTCTTACTTGCATATTCCACACGCATCCTTACTTATGTTAATATACAAGTATATATTATATGTATATATACGCACATATTAGTATTTGTTCGTTAAGCGCGTGTCAAAAACAATGTCACCGGCATTTGCATAACGGTCAGACACACACATGTAATCTAGGCGAAATTTTTATTTACTGCCACGTCTAGGAAGGTCAAACTCATGGTTCGCATTTTTACTATATCTGCAAATTTCACAACTTTCAAACATACTTTCATGGAAGCCTACACAAGGAAGAATTCAATAAATTTTACTGCCATTCACATATTTTCCTAAAAGTATGACCTTTTCTGCTTAGCCTTTGATGTCGAAACTTTGTTGCTGGGGATATGAAAATTTAAATTCTTGCTGAAACAAATTACTTACTTTTAAAGGAAAACATTATTATTTGTTTTTGAATAAACAATGAAAATTGAGTAATATCCCGTGGCGAGAGTCGAAGAGAGAGAATGCTGCTGCTATTGGAGCGCACGAATGGCAGTCAATTGTAGTTAAAATTCATTACTGAGTGTTATTGCATGTCAAAAATTTATAAAAAAGGCCGATAGATTATTATACATGATTTCATTAACGCATACTATATATATACATATATTAAGTCTACAAAATAATGGCGGGAATTTAACGAAAACAAAAAAAACGTTAACGCCTAAGCTATAAAAACTCACAAATAAACAAGTTTCAATATAAGAACTTAAATCAGTCATAGTGGAAAATTTTTTGTGACACAATTTCTACAGAGATTGCACCTTTGCCTAAGTCCATAACTCATGGCAAATTTCGTGAAGATATCTCGTCAAATAATAAAATTGTTTATATAAGCATTTGATTCCGGTCATTCAGTTTGTATGACAGCTACGTGCTATAGTGGTCTGATATCGGCGGCTGATATTATATTTGGCAACTTTCAGTTTAAATTTGTCAAAGTAAGACAATTTTTCTTCTAGTCCGACAGATGGCGGAAAATGAGAATTTCTGTATCTATGGTTTATACTACTATTATGGATATATTCGTGAGACATTTTAAGGAAATACATCTAGTGAGAACTTTTTCCTGTTAACAAAATACGGTACTAGAAATCGATAAAATATTAGGTAAAGTAAAAAGTTCGTTCGGTTTTTTATTGATTTTTCAAAAGATGATAACTTTGTGTACATTTGTCCGATTTAAGTCAGATATGCGCCGTTTTCTTTGTAAACTTGTTGCCAACGAGATGCCAACTTCATTATACCCCTCTCGTAGAAGACTACGTCCCTATTGCCAAAAAACTCGGAGAACCAATTTTCACAGGCCTCTCTTGAGGCTAACTTCTCACCATTAAGCGCGTTCGCCATGGACAGGAAAAGATGGTAATCACTTGGTGCCAGGTCCGGACTATAAGGTGGGTGCATTAGAACCTCCCATCCGAGCTCCAGGAGCTTCTGGCGAGCCACCAAAACGTGTGTGGCCTGGCGTTGTCCTGATGGAACACAATTCGGCCTCTGTTGATCAAGATGGCCTCTTCTGGATGAGTGCTGCCTTCAAGCGGTCCAGTTGTTGGCAGTAGAGGGCCGAATTGAGCGTTTGGCCATAGGGGAGCAGCTCGCAGTAGATGATTCCTTGCGAATTACACCTAACACACAGCAAAACCTTCCTGCCCGTCAATCAGGTCTTGGCCACCATCTGGCACGCTTCCCCGAGCTTTGACCATGACCGTTTGCGCTCGATGTTGTCATAAGTGACCCATTTTGCATCGCCGGTAACAATCCGATTCAGAAACGGGTCGATTTTGTTGCGATTCAGCAGCGATTCGCAGATGGAAATTCGGTCCATCATGAATCCAAGGTTATGCAAATGGTTCCAAACGGTTTTCTGGCTTATCTTTAGTTCCTCAGCAATTAAATAAGTTCCTCAGAAATTAAATAAGTGCTCACTCAATCGAAAAACTGTCGAAGACCAACTTTTAGCGCGAATAAACACGTTTTCAGCGCCGTATAGTATGACATGATGCGACACGTAACACTAGTACTATGGACAATAACGCCATCTCTTAGATAAAAACCGAACGAACTTTTTACTTGACCTAATATGAATCCCGTATACTGAATATACAAACTTTTTTACTTTGTGCCGAAGGTATGCGTTCTAGTAAGAGTTATTTAAATCCCAATGAGTGGAATTATTTTCTCGAGCATACTTGACGTTTATGAAAAAATCAATGAAATCTGACCTGGGCATAAGCTCAGTGTAGTGAAATGCAATCTTCCGGTTGACTTTATACATTTTAATTTTTCTCGAGCGCAACAAAGAACGAATTCTGTCTCGAACTTGAATTAGACCCTTATAATCGTTAGTCTCTTCTCGTTTATTGTAATCGCTTAACAATTTCGACTCATTACGTATGTCGAATTTATATGCAATGCTTTTATTATAAAGTTTCAGGAAATATCTCCACGCTTTTAATTCCCACACATTTCTATACTATCTGATGTTCGACTACGCCCGTACTTATCATTTCCCTACTTGGTTTTTATACACACAAAAATATCTTGCTTTTAGTCGGAAAACGTTAGTTTACTTCGCTGCACTTTACTTTTGATCTCTTTGGCTTCCTTTGTTCACATTTTATTTAATTAGGGCACTTAGAGACTTCGCACACGAAACATAACAGAAGTGCACATTCGTAAAAACTATTTATGAGGATTAATGAATTACGTGCATTTGCGGAAGTGTTTTGAAGGCAAAGATACAAGTAGTCACGAATAAAATGAAATGAAAAATTATAGCGTGCAACAAACTTATATAGATTTACACTTGCTTACATATGTATATGAAAACATGAAGGTGGAATATGAAGCCGTATTGGAAGTGAGCTTAGGGGCATTGTACTTTCTTTAAGGATCAGAAATTATTCACAGTTATTTTATTAATAGCTACCTCTCTACAGAATTTCGAACATATGTTCATCGCGACTGATTTTAAGATAACCATCGGTTGATTTTGAATGATTTCTGCTGGCAAAGAAAGCTCTAACTCGCCAAATATCGCGCTGTACATTGGTTATATGTGTCCAATCCAAACCGATCTTTGTTTATAATTCGGTCACTAAAAGTTCGTTCCAAAACTCTGCTTTTGATACCTTTTAGCTGATGGATAATGACGTGTGGAAATAAATAGTACCACATTGTCGCTCATCATTGA